AAAAAAAAAAAATGACATTTTATTTGTGTGCATGAATCCAAGCTGCACACAGAGGTCAGAGGACAGCCGGTGGGAGTCAAGTTCGTTCTTTCTGCTACGGGGTCCCAGCAATTTAACTCAGGTCCTCAGCCTTGAAGGCAAATGCCTTCAACCATTGAGCCATCTTCTGGCCATTAGCTTCTAATACTACAGGTAGACAGAGAGCCGAGGCTAAGGGAAAGGGACGCTCACACCAGGAAGTATTAGCATCTTGCTTTTTTTTATTGCTGTGATGAGACCCTGGCCAAGGCAGCTTACCGAAGAAAGGGTCAATTGGGGAGTTAGTGTTCGGAGGGTGAGTCGGCGACCATCAAGACCATCGTGGTGGGGAGACCATCACGGTAGGCAGCGGCAAGCATGGGGCTAGAGCAGTAGCTGAGGGCTTACATCTGATCCAAAAGCTTGAGGCAGGGAGATAACTGGGAATAGCATTGGCTCTTGAAGCCTCAGAGCCCACACACATGGCAGATATCCTCCCAGAAGACCACACCTCCTAATCCCACACAAACAGTTCTACCAACTGGGACCAACCATGTAGTTATATGGAGGTCATCCTCATCCAAACCACTGCAGTTAGGTTCTGCTTTAACTGGAGATGTGCTGAGCATCCACAGCTCAGAAAGCCCTGGATGGTTCTGTAGAACAGTTGCCGTTTTACGGTTCTCAGTGCCGGCTTGACAGAAAGCCATGTCCCCAGTGTACACAATTTCTGTGAAGGAGGCGTTGAGCAGAAAGTGGGCATTAGCTAAAGGGTATGGGGAAGCTCACATGGGTAGCTGTAGAACATCACATAAATCCAGCATACATGCAGGGGAGTACCACAGCGTCCCTGTTTTGATTTGCTCTCCAGGTCCTTTGACCATGAGCAGTTTGGGGCACAGGGGCCTGCATGGAAAATGGTTTGTCCCAGTATTTTAGCAGTTTCCCTTTTTCTCTTGATCCTGTAGTGGCCACGCCTTCTTTATACTTGAAAAAGAAGCACTAAATGCAGAGGGAGCTCAGTGGCCTCCCAAGGTCATAGTGAGCGGCAGATCTGCAGGCGTGTGACTAACAGTGTCCCTAGGCCAGGCTAAGGGCTAGAGAGAAGGCTGTAGCCAGTCTAGACCAAAAGAGAAGCTGAACAGGGATGGAACAGGGGACCCATCTGACTAAGGTCAGAGTGCAGGGGCCTTAGGGACAGCAGCTTCCCACCCCTAACTTACTGGGTGCTACAGGAGGAAGATTTGCCTGTGAAGGCTTCATTGCCTTTTCCTGACTCCTTCTCAGGGGAAGGCGAGCACTTAGTTCCCATTGTTAGGAGAGCAATCAGGAGAGATTTTGTGGGCACTGATGAGTCCCCAGCAGGGGCTGCCTCTGCTTAAAATGGATGACAAGCATAAACCGGCTTGCTAGTGTCCTGCTGCCAGGAGCACCTAGGCACAGCCCTGAGTTCCTGCAGCTGGTGCAGCCGAGGAAGCCCCCCTGACAGCATGTTTGTTTTGCAGGAAATGCCGCTTGGGCGATGGCCACGTCCAAACCTGATATTTTGATTATACTTTTACAGAAATTGATGGAGGAAGGGAATGTGATGTACAAGGTAAGTGCCTTTGTCTCTGTCTGTGCTGCTGCTGTTGGCGTGGGACCACCGAGAGGTCTGGTATTGGATGCTGCGGCCACGCTTCTGTGCGCAGCCAGCCGTAACTTAGCAGGAATGCAGTTCCAAAATGTTCCCACCTGACCCCTTGCCCAGGAGCCTGCTAATCTCCAAACAGCAGAATCTTAATGGGAAAGCAATATTCTTTGTGTCTGAGAACAATTGTCAGGAATCCTCCCAGCGGAGGCTGTGACTTCCTGAAGGAGAGTCACTGCTAGGTCAGCTGACACATCCCACAGGAAGGTCCCTTGGCTTCCCTACCTTACAAAAGTCCAAGCATGGCATGGCACTGGACCTAGTCACGAGGTACATGGCAGAAGACACCAGGGAGCACTTAGAGAAGGAAAGAACATTTAAGGGGACAGGAGGATGGTGCAGTGGCTCACGTTGGCCACCACGCCCGGCTGCCTGATTCCGAATCCTAGACCCCATTGGTAGGAAGGAGAGAACCGAGTCATACAGCTTGTCCTCTGCCCTCCATGTGTGTTCTGTAGCATGTGTGTGCCTACACATTACTAATACATGCCAAATGAATAAATGTATCTGGAAAGAAAATTAAAAAGAGCCATCCAGTGCCCCGCCGCGGCCTTTCACTTTTATGTTCTTAAGTATAAATTTGGGGATTTTAAGTGTTTTTAGTGATATTTTTTATTGAATGTGGCCAAGTAATATGTTCACAGTTTCTCAAGAGATAGTTATACCCCCCTCCCAATTTCCCTCAGAAAAAGAAAGAAAACCTACAGGCTCAAAAATTTGATCCTAAATTTTCCCAAATGAGCTATCAGTTCAGATCCATGGTGGGTAGCCCTAGTAATTGCTTGCAGCTTTGCAGACTGTGCAGCCCAGCCAGCTACTGCTGGTACAGAGGTAGGCCCGGGCCATAGACACACAGGCCCGGGGGCGTGGCTACGCCCAGGAAAGCGGTAAATAGGTGTCCATGGCCACCGCCTGGTTTAGGTAGGTGTGTAGGCATATGCATAGATACTACTCTTTTCAGACCTGTAATTAGGTAGAAATAAGATTGGGGGGGGCACCCAAGATGGTGACGACTTTGATCCTTTTCCCTACTAGGCAGCCTCATCTGCTAGGTTGTTCATTTATTCCCCGTTTGTTGTTTCTTTCATAGTAACAAATAACGAGGCACGGAGCATGAGCCAGCAGGGTTCCCAGCTTGGAGGCGGTTGGAAATTGAGTTCAGGGTGTATATTGTTGTGGCTTTGAAGTGGTTTTAATATGGATTCTGCAAGGTAATTATGTCAGAAATAGCCAGCCATTTCCAACAGGCGGCAGCTCCTGCTGAGCAGTGAGGCTGACTGAGCAAATGGATTTCTTTAGCCTTGAGAGGGATGCGCGGTGGCTCTGATTTCCAAAGCCCGTTCTTCGGTGCTTCTCGGAGAAAAATTATTATTCGACAGCAAGCTGCGGGTTTAGCCACGAGTCACTGTCTGCTGTAGGAACGACAGCATTTTTTTCATCAGCTTTGCCTCTTCATTGGCTTTCTATTCTCCTTGAAATTAAAATATGTTTCAGTGAAACACGGTTCTTGAAATAGCACTGAAGTTACATGTGAGAAGGTAATTTGCTGTGTGAAGGTGGAGAGTTGGTGATTTTGCAGCTCACACTTTCTTGTTAAGCCATCTATGTCCTTGCAGTGTGAAGTCCGTGCAGCCTGAGCGTGTCCACACTAGTCAGTGTCCCGGTTCCTAAGACGCCTACCTGTCTGGATCCTTCTCACGTGCTGTGATGCTTTTACGTGAGGGAGGGTCTTCAACATGGTGGCCCCTGGGAAAGGATAACTTAAATGTGATTTTTGAATCCTAGAAAGGGAAGATGAAGGAGGCGGCCCAGAGGTACCAGTACGCCTTAAGGAAGTTTCCTCGGGAAGGATTTGGGGAAGACATGAGGCCCTTCAATGATCTCAGAGTCTCCCTCTATCTCAATCTGTCTCGATGCCGGAGGAAAACAAATGTAAGCCGGCATTGTTATCCTTACCCAGTTCTTTAGCAGCAGGTGACGGGAGGCTCAATCTTGGGACACCCTTCTGTCTGGGGTGCTGCGAGGTCAAGGTCATAGCCACTGCCCACCTCCCAAAATGCTGGTGGAAGAAAGCGCTTAGGTTGATGGAGTGCGCTTGGGTTGATTTGCCTTTGCTTCAGCGAAAGCAGCAGATACAAGCTGCGCCCCCTCCCCCAGTTGTGATGCTCCCAGCATTGTCCACAATCAAAGGCCTTCCCTCCTCACATTCTAGAAAAGTCCAGCACAAATGGCCGTGACAGTCAGCCTGCCTTGTGGCCTTAGGTTTGTTCAGGGGGCCTGCTTAGTGAATACTCTGTTTCTCACCCACAGTGGTTAGCTTGTAGTTTGTTACTACTGGATGTCTATAGTTCTTCCGACTGATGTTTGGAACTTCACCCCACCCCCACCCAGTGCAGCTCACCTGCTCTGGGGCCCACACTCCTGCCCTGCTGAGAGAGCAGAAGGATGGATGCGTACACACAGACATATACACAGACTGCTCTTGTGTTGGACTCTGTCCTGTTACCTTTGCCTTCTGGGCCCGGTTGCCACTGCTCTCTCCTGAGTCATAATTGCTGCTTCTGTAATGGATCTGAAGAACAGTCCTCAGCTCTGGTTATCCAGCTTGAAGCAAGCAGATGGGGAACTATGCCTTGCGCTACACCCCCCCCCCCCAGGTCCCAGTGCCCCGCTGCCCTTAGAACAGAGCTCCTGGGAGACAGTCCCTGTTCTTGACACTACTTCTGACTCATGTATTTAATTGTTGGCCCCAGGACTTTGGCTTGGCAGAAGAATTTGCTTCAAAGGCTCTGGAACTGAAACCCAAGTCCTATGAAGCCTTTTATGCCCGGGCAAGAGCCAAAAGGAATAGCAGGTACTCTCTGGGGTCACGTGACTTTGTGAGCCTTTTCGTTCTGGGAGGTTGAGCCTGCTAGATGAGTTTGCGGGTATTTTCCTTCATCAGGGTTGTTACTCAGACAGCTTCCAGAGTAGAAGCTACTAGAGACCAGTAGCTTCCAAGAGGCATGGTAACGGCTGTTACTCTAGTGGTCAGCCTTTGACTTTCTTCACATTCCCCTCCGTACCCCAGCACAGAACACCTGCCGAGTTCTTGTTTCAGTGAGACTGGCAATTAGGGGTGGCAGGGGAGCAGAAGAGGGTTATGTCTGATCTCTGAGTTAGAAGGGGGCATGATAAAGGCCAAAGAAGATACTGTGAGCCTGACTTTGGCACCCTCTGTCTGTGGATCTGTATGGATAGACCAGGGTCACTGAGTCACAGTGCCCTGATGGATAGACCAGGGTCACTGAGTCACAGTGCCCTGATGGATAGACCAGGGTCACTGAGTCACAGTGCCCTGATGGA